TCATTAAACAGTTAGTACACATGTTGCCCTGTGACAATGGTTAACAACCCCATTACATGTCAACACTGTCCTTACTCAACCTTGGGTTCCCTATCACTGGCTTTCCTGTCCCCTTCTGCCTTCTAGCCCTTGTCCCTGGACTGCTGTGCCTCATTAGTCCTGTTTTGTTTTATGGGACTATCCCAGTCCCCGGCTGAATGGCAAACTTGAGGTACTTTTTAATGCCTATTTTGTTAGCTGCCATTGAGTTGGCCCCTGACTCATGGGGTCCCATGCACAACAGTACGAAACCCTGCCTGGTCCTGTGTCATTCCCATGAGTGGTTACGGATTGGACCGTTGTGATTTATAGGGTTTTTGTTGGCTGGTTTTGGGAAGTAAGATACCGATATCTAAATATTTGCTTAAGAAATTTATACGCATAATGTCATGCATTGAATTACGTCCCCCAAAAAATGTGTTATCAATTTGGCTGGGCCGTGATTCCCAGTATTGTATGGTTGTCCTCCATTTTGTGATTGTAACTTTATGTTAAAGAGGATTAGGGTGGGATTGTAACACCCTTACTAAGGTCACATCCTGATCCAGTGTAAAGGGAGTTTCCCTGGGGTGTGGCCTGCACCACCTTTTATCTTACAAGAGGTGAAAGGGAAGCAAGCAGAGACTTGAGGACCTCATACTACCAAGAAAGCAGTGCCAGGAGCAGAGCGGGTCCTTTGGACCCGAGGTTCCTGTGCTGAGACGCTCCGAGACAAGGGAAGACTGATGACAAGGACCTTCCTCCAGAGCCGACAGAGTGAGAAAGGCTTCCCGTGGAGCTGTCACCCTGAATTTGGACTTATAGCCTACTAGACTGTGAGAGAATGAACTTCTCTTTGTTAAAGCCATCCACTTGTGGTATTTCTGTTATAGCAACATCAGATGACTAAGACACGTAAACTCATATGCTCTGTTCTTCCCTTGCTTTTTCCATTTTGTAGTATATCTTGAAGATCTTCCATATCAGCACTTACAGATCTACCTGAATCTTTTATGGCTGTCCAGTATTTTGTTGGATATTTGTATCATGTCTGATGGCTATTTGGGCTGTTTACTAATGGTGGACATTTGGATTGCTTACAGTTTTCTGTTACAGATAATGCTGTGACCTTTGACCACTCAGTCAGAAGTAACTTCACGGACTCTATTGCATCACACTATTTTGATTCTCTGCAGAGCAATTAATCACTCTTTCAAACTTTTCTTGTTTATGTATTTCTTTATGTTATTTCTCACCATAAGAGGGAAAACATCTTAAAGGCAGGGAATTCGTCTAGCTTATCTGCCGTATGTTCAGTGTCTAGCATAGTGCCTGTTACATAATAGGTACTCAGTAAATATTTGTAGGATAAATATTGTAGTACACATTTTTGTGGTTAGTTTTGAGTAGTCTAGATCATCCAAAAAAATTGACTCTAATGCACAACAGAAGCTCATCTGTGGCGACTCTTCTTACATTTATGGTTCCCACCAGAACGTGGATTTCATATTTAATTCATGTTCAAGAATCTTTCAGAGACTTCACACATTATATAGACAAATTTTTAGGTGTAGGGTTACTAACACAACTTAGAGAGTTGTCTGTTTGTGCCATGTAGATCTGCTGAAAAAGTTTGTTCAGACTTCAGTCATCAAGGATATCAACGAGGTGATGTGAGAGGACATCAGTGGTTGTGTAGTTGAGTTTTCCATCCACAAGGGTGAGCTAGTTGCCCTACAGATCAAGAGAAGGCATTACCTTTAAATTCCAGCTTGCTCTACTTGGGTAAATTGTAGGTTGTTCTTTCTCCTGTTTTTTGTGTTAACAGTGCTTTCCGTTAGTTCTCCGTGCATCCTTGTTAATAGGAGATAGACCCTGTCTGTCCTTTTAACCCCTGGCCCTATGGACTTTTCATCTGACCTGTGGCGTATATCCAGACTGATGCTTCAGAAACAGTCGTGGTCTGCTAAGCTATTTTAGCGATTCATTCTAAAAATCAGCTTTGAAAATAGCAAGGGCATGTGATCTGAGATAGAAGGACTTGAGCTCTGTGTTGAATAGAAACTCTTCTAAGTATGCCAAATATAGGGGTAAGTATATCTGAGTCACGGCAGTGTCATCGTGTCTGCCATGGCTGAACCTGGTGTGTTTTAGGAAACCCTGGTGGTGTAGTAGTTAAGAGCTATGGCTACTAACCAAAAGGTCGGCAGTTCGAATCTACCAGGCACTCCTTGGAAACTCTATGGGATAGTTCTATTCTCTCGTATAGGGTCACTATGAGTTGGAGTCGACTCGATGGCAACAGGTTTGGGTTTTTTTTTTTTAAAATAGGGTACTAGCTAAATATGAGACTCTGGGCTTAACTCCTTGCTCCACCACAGACTAGTGTGTGATCTTGAAACTCCTCTGGGTTACCGTAGAAATCTTTTAACACCTGCTTCATAGAGCTGTCCTGAGAATTAAATGAGACAATGTACTTAAAATCCTTAGCAGATTGTAAAATCAGTGGTAGGAGAGCCAGGCATCAAATGGCTTCTCTGTGAGCTTACAATTTCTGCATATTTACCAAGTTTCTAAGTGAAAGTTCTTAATGAGATTTTTCTTTCTTTTTTTTTTTCTTGTTCAGATATTTGAGACACCAAGAATTGAAGGAATAAATTGAAGTATGTTGAAGGATAAAATTTGTGTTCCCAGCATAAAATATGGGAGAAAAGAAATAAACCTTAAAGTTCGCTATTTAGCCCAGGAGCAGGATGCTGCCGTATCTTCTCTTCTCCTCTTTTTCTTTGTTCTTCCTTGCTTCCCGGGCCCTCTTCCCCTCTGTATCGTACCAGTGGAGTGTTCGCTTGTTAACACTCCTTCAAGCAGATGTGGCCAGCCAGATATAACAGTATAGGTGAAGGGCGGATTTTGATTCCTCTTCAGTCATAAACTATTGGCCTGGTTTGTTTTGAATTCCAGATACTTCTTAGGTGGTGAACTTTCGTCCCTATCTTTGCCTTGAATATGATTCTTGTCATTTTCATTGTAGCTCTGAGTTATAACACTAAGACATTTATTAACGTCTTCAGCTTTATAATGATCCCGATTTTCCTCCCCAAAGACTTGTAAATGGAAGTGTTAAATGCTGTGTTCTCACTGAGCCCTAGTTTCATGAGTATGGGCTCACCACGTTTCCCATGTTGTCTTTCAGTGGTTAAGCTCAGCCCAAGAGTCTTGGCACATTACTGCTTGCTGTGACACCACATAGCATTTATAGTCAATGAACTTGCAAGCAGGGACATCCTGTTTGGCACCAACGAGTCCCTCAGTGTTTGCAGAGATAGCTGTCAGTGTCAGCTTTGAAAGTTGTAGCACTGCGGGGCTGCCCATTCAGACTGAAGGTTTGAATGCCCCTGCACTTTGGTCTGGCTCCCTTGATGTGTGTCCACTAAGTGTACAGTGCAATAGAGAGCTTTGCATTATTCTGAGAGGAGCCAGGTTGTGAATGACTTAATTGTTAACCTAGGGAGGACAGGGATGTTTCAGAGGGGGATTAAGAGAGGAAGGGAGGACTTAAAAGTAGCAAAACTAGAAAATATTAAGGAGAGGGAGACCTCAGACTGACATCTTTGCGTTCTGATAGGAGTCCCTTTGCAGTTCTCAAAGGTACTGATGGGGTTTTCCACATTGTGCGATGGTCCTGGGCCATTTGCTTCAATGCGAGGGCAACAGTTTCTTTCCCAAATGAATTGAGTGTTCA